ACAGCTGCCCCGAGCCGAGCTCTCAAGTGCGCACGCGCCGCCCTGGGACCCAGCGTGTCCCTGTCGAAGTCCCGCCAACACTGAGGGAGACCCCCGTGATCATCTCCATTTACAGACGAGGAAATGGGCCCCGGTTACCTTACCCAGGGGCCCAGCCGAGTGGGCAGGACCGGGAGTCGGGCTGCACCCGCGCCTTTTGGGCATCAGTGGGCAGGCTTAGCAGGTGCTGGTCCAGGCGGTCACTCATACATTCTCCCCTCCCCTCTGCTGTCTTCTACGTGTACGTACACACACGTGGTTTTTCAGCCTCTTGTGCGTGATGTCCAAATTAAAATTGTCATGTCTTTATTGTAGGTGTTGAAACAGAAGTCACAGGCCCCAGAAAAACCTCTTGTTCTCTCTCAGCGGGATTCCAAAAAGCAGCCCCAAATGACCCGACAGGACAGAAAAGCCAAGAGAGAGGAGGCGGGGACGGAAAAGGCAGGCGGAGAGGCAGCCCTGGGCTCCCTTCCTCCAGCATCACTGCCCAGCAAGGCCCGCGGAGCAGAGCACAGGGAGAAAGCCAAGAGAAGGCCAAATGGTGACATTTCTCCAAAAGGAGGGGGTCTCAGACATAAGAAGCGGAAAGCCGAAGAGGCGACGGCAGCCTTGGCCCCAGCCCCGCCCACCGAGTAAGTACTGGCGGCCTCTCCCATGGTGACGGGCACTGCCTCCTCTGCCGCCCAGCCTGTCGTGGGCATCGCCAAGGACAAAGTCCTAGCCACTGAGCTTGTCTGCTTGAGGAGGCGGGGCTGGGGCCCACCCAGAATGAGGGCCGGGCCTGCTCATGGCTGCTGTACCCCGGGACCCAGGGCAGAGCTGGGCACTTAGTGGCTCCGGGGAAGATCCGTGGAATGAATGAGTGTCGAAGCCGGGAAGACCCGAGTTTGAAGCTGGTTCCTGCATCTTGCTAGTTGGGTGGTTTGGGGCAAGGTTTGCTGTCCCCTGGGCCTCCCGGCGGTCATCGGTGTTGTCTGGGCGGGAGGGGGTCTGTGAGACGGGAAGTGCTGGCTGAGCGCCCCATGGTGACTCAACAGACCCTGTGATGGTCACCCACCTGGGGAGGACGAGGGGTCAGTGGCCAGCTGGAGGGGCGTGTCGCCGGGACAGTGGCTGAGGGGTGTGGGGAAGCAGTCTGAGGGCCGGCCTTATGTCATTGTGCGTCGGGCACGCTGCCTGGAAATAGAGTGGCCGCCATGGGCCCTCCCTGCTGAGGCTGAGGTCAGGTGGGGGAGACACGATAAACTGAAATGATTTCAGTAATTCTGTCAGTTGCTCCGGGAGGAGCGGGTCCACTAGTGGGTCAGCAAGAGTTCCCCGGGGAAGTGACATTTAAACGGAGCCTGAGACGTCCCACCAGGCAGGCCCTCACACCCCTGCGCTGCAGGCTGCGGGCCGTCACTCGTGGGGTCTGGAGGGTTGACGTTTCTGTTTTCTGCTCTGTTTACTTGCGGTTCCTAAATCTCGGGTAATGAGCCTATTTCCTAATTAAACAGAAAAGTGACGAAAGGATAAGTGTCCTGTGATCGGAATAGCAGCAGCAGCTGGGCATTCGGGCCAGCGCAGTGAGGGTGTCTCGCGACACACAGTCAGCCTGCCCCTCCATGACACACAGTCAGCCCGCCCCTCTGCCTTTTAGACAAGACATCTGGTTCGATGATGTTGACCCGGCGGATATCGAAGCGGCCATGGGCCCAGAGGCAGCCCAGATAGCGAGGAAGCAGCGGGGCGAGAGGGAGAGCGGCGTGGCGCTGGTGAAGGAGCAGGCCTTCAGCGGGTACGTGGCTGCGCTTCAGGGCGGGGGAGGTGGCCCTTCAGGGGGAGCGCCCCCCTGGGCCCAGGGTCAGAGCTGGTCATTGGTGGTGCCGATCCTGGGGTCCTGCCGTGTGATTTAAACTGGAGCCTCTGGTCCCTTCAGCCTGACGAAAGCCTTAGCCATGGACTGCGAGATGGTGGGCGTGGGCCCCACAGGGGAGGAGAGCCTCGCCGCCCGCGTGTCCATTGTGAACCAGTACGGGAAGTGTGTCTACGACAAGTACATCAAGCCGACCCAGCCGGTGACGGACTACAGGACGGCGGTCAGCGGGGTCCGGCCGGAGCACCTCCAGCGGGGTGGGTCATGCCCAGCCGTGAGCTGAGAGAGGACAGGCGGGGGCGGGCTCACGCTCCTCTCGGTCCGTTCTGGAGCCTTCCGTAGCAGGGGTCCTGAGTCTCACCTCCCCAGGGTGAGTGGCCTTCAGATGGCTCCCTGTGTCCTCGGACCCGGATCTGAACTCAGCCTGTCGGCCCCTGAGGTCTGACCAGACAACGGCCGGGCTTTACTGTCGCTCAGAATCGCGTCTGGTTCGGTTTCAGGAGAAGCATTTGCAGTTGTTCAGAAGGAAGTGGCCGAGATGCTGCGGGGCCGGATCCTCGTGGGACACTCGCTGCACAACGACTTAAAGGTGCGC